AACACCATCTCTTGGAGGTGCACAGGCTCAGTGCTGAGGGTGCTGCTGACCATGGAGCTGTGGCACAGTGAGGTCCTCTCCTCCCAACCCCCCAGCAAGGTCCCCTGCCCTGCAACTCTGCTCTCCCTCGAGGCACCGTGTGGATGAACGAGATCCTAAGCCTCATTCGCAGCCACGGCTGCCCCATCTGGAGCTGAGCCGTCCTCAATTCTGACCCCATGCCTTGGTTCTCAACCCGTCTCGGTCTGGTGTCAGCCCTCAGCTACCCCCCACCTTGCCTGCTGACCTACCACCTCCCCAGGCACATCTTCCCCGAGTCCTTCTCCCATTCCAGGGCCAAGGTGGGACAAGCAGTGATGCAGAGCTTCAGGGGGAACAGAGGGGCTGGGAAGACCATTGCCCATGATCTGAGGAACCTTGGAATGAGGGGACATTGGGCAAGGACCTTGGCGTTGACCTCGGAGAGTGGCGAGTGTCCTCCACGCCCTCCAGATGGAAATATGCAGAGCCCCATCTCACATCCTGCCCCTCTTGGATGTTTTAGTCTCCAATGGCTCTAGGGGACTTGTGTATTCATGGAGACCCTCGCCCAAGGTCTGCGTGATGGGATCTAGCCCAGAGCTGGTCCTTGGGTGGCAGAACCCTCCATTTTCAGATCTACCCCAGTGCCAGTGCCTGCAAACCCCCTTTACCCACTGGGAGCGTGTCACTCCTGTACGCACTCTACCCAGGTTGTTTACACCCTACGGGATCCTCGAGATGTTGTTGTCTCCTACTATTACTTCTCCAAGATGTGCAACAGCTATGAGGATCCCATGTCCTTCGAGCAGTTCCTGAGGGACTTTCTGGATGGAGAGTGTGAGTGTGGTTTGGGGCTTACTCAGGGCACAGGCGTGGGTGCGTGGGTGAAGTCTTCCATCGCCTCTGGCTCAAGGGTCTTTTGCTACTGTCCCCTGATGATGGCTATGAAGCTAGGCTTCCCACAGGAGAGAGGTGAACAGCTCAGGAGGAAAGCAAAGCGTTTCTGGAGAGACACACAGGTCCACAAAGCCCTGTTGTGCTTTGAAGCAGGTGGGAAGTAGATTTCCCTGCCTTCTCCTGCAGATGTCTTCAGGAGGTCTTGGCCAAGAAACCCTATAAAGCCCTAGCAGGACGTTACCCATGAGCCTTGCACACCTCTAGCCTCAGCCTCTTCCCACTGTCGTGGTGGCTGGAGAAGAACCCGTTGCTTAGCGGCAGTTGCAGCTGAACCTCCCAGTCCCACCTGCTCCCTGGACATCATCGCTCTGTCCTGCATCGTGGCTGCCCTGCTCCCAGCCTTGTGTGAACCTTCCTTGGCCTTGCACATCTCCTGCCCTGCCTTACTGCCTTTTGCCTCCCAGCAGTGCCCCATGGCTCCTGGTTCGAACACGTCCGAGGCTGGATGGAGTTGAAGGACACAGAGAATTTCTTCTTCATCACCTATGAAGAGCTGAAGCAGGTGGACACCTAGGGAGACCCTCCAGCTCCAAACACGCTGGTGTGTCACAAGCCACTCGGTGGTAACAGGCTCCGTCTGTCCCTCCAGGACTTGCACAGCAGCGTGAGACGCCTCTGTCAGTTCCTGGAGCAGGATTTGGATGACAGTGCCGTCTCCTCAGTGGTGCAAAATGCCTCCTTCACGGGGGAATCCCGATGTGCAGCTCCATCCTGCTCCCCTCAGACATCCTGGACCAGACAAAGGGCGTTTTTCTGAGGAAGGGTGAGCACAGAGGAGACCCATCACAACACCTCAGGGAGAGCCTCCCATCAGGTGTCCTCCCCCATGAGGACAGCCAGAGCGAGGGTGTCTTGGAGAGCCATATCACAGTGCATTTGGGTCTGCAGAATGGGGTCTATAGAATCATAGAATCATAGAACAGTTTGGGTTGGAAGGGACCTTTAAAAGTCATCTACTCCAACACGCCTGCAGTGAGCAGCGATGTCTTCAACTAGATCAGGTTGCTAAGAGCCGCGTCCCACCTGACCTTGAATGTTTCCGGGGATGGGTATATTCACTATATTCATCAATGACTTGGATGAGGGAACAGAGTGCACTGTCAGCAAGTTTGCTGATGACACAAAACTGGGAGGAGTGGCTGACACCCCAGCAGGCTGTGCTGCCATTCAGCGAGACCTGGACAGGCTGGAGAGCTGGGGGGGGAGACATGTAATGAACTACATCAAGGGCAGGTGTTGAGTCTTTCATCTGGGAAAGAACAACCCCAT